TCAACCAAATTTAAAACCAAGAAAAAAAAAAAGCCTCAAATTACGGATTCAAGTCCTCAAGAAGCAATGATATCAAGACTACTACCTTGGTTAATGGATGGAGGGAAAGAAAACCTGATATTTGAATCTCAATAAAAGCAACCGACCTACGTTCATTCCTTATACATTCTGACATCTCCATTTCAATCTAAGGCGAATTCTCCTGTCTTGCGTTCGGTTTCGCAACTCCTCCAGATTCGTCCACTGCATGAGTTGCCATTGTTGCCCGTTGAGAGTTTCCACAAACACTTGCTCCAAATCGCGCTGCCAAAAGCAGGGCTCGGTCCTGACTTTATTGTTTGCAAGCAAGATGTTGAACTGAAACTCCGAGAGCTCGTAGGAGCTCCTGAGCAACTCGCTCATGACCCAACCACCCCATACAAGACTCGGTCGACAAACACGAAACACGGCATTCGTAAACTCCATGGGGCATTTACAATCATCAAAAAATAATTCCCCCACCACAATAGGTTGCTCATCACGGAGAACAGCACTACAGGGCACGTGCTGATCAGAGCGGCAGCCCATCCCCAACAACAGAGAAATCTGAGACCCACTTAGTGCCTTGAGAACTCGTCTCACCTCAAGGAACCACGAATTGATGTCGAAATTGGGATCAGCCACATACGTAGAGAGGAATACACTTGAGTACCACACCTTGGAAGTAGTGGTCGTGAAAGAGAATGTGTGCAGCGGCTGACGAATACGGGCATCGAACGTAAATTTGAGAATGTTCGGGACACAAATCGTAACTCCTTTAAGCAATATTCTGTCCGAGATGATGGTCAACCACTTGACCGAATCACTTGCAAGATGGAATTCCTCGAAACCGGAACAATTAATTAGGGTCAAGCTCTCAAGAGTCGGGCAGCCGAACGATAACAAGTCAAACGACTCACTCGACAGGATCACACTACCGAGACGCAAACGCGTGAGGCGAGAGAACAAAAATTCGCTTTGGCGGTTAGACCAAATCCATGGGCCACAGATAGAGACCGTCTCGAGATTCGGGACATCGATTTCAATGCTACGCCCTCCGATCCTCACGATATTATCCAATACAAAGTGCTTGAGCCCACGGAATGCTGTCTCGCTCACTAGTCTAACGTTTATTAACCCCTGACAATTAAAAAGGAACATCCGCCCGAGCAAAGGGCAGCCCAACATTATCTTCTCAAAAGTCCTGTCGTTAATGAGGACGCATTGGAGGATGAGCGTGCACAAACATTTGAACTGCACGCTCTCGCTCATCTTGCATTGGCACAGGTGTAGTTCTTCGAGGGACTCGGCTAAGAAGACTGCCTTGGGCAGGTCGTAATACTCCGGAGTATTTGAAAAAAAGTTGAGTTTCAACGCTTTGATGTTGAGGGCTAATATCGGGATCCATTCATCGAGAAGGGAGACGACTGGTTCGGGCCTCGATGAGTCGAGATGAAGCTTGTGTATGGAGAGGTTTCGATCACGTATCCTTGTAGGGTTCGGTCGAGTACAGAGACAAAGTTTTGTTGTGTGTTGTGGAACCAGTCTTCGGAAAACTCGAGGTTGGGGCGGGTTGAACCTATGTGGCGCCATTGTTTGGAGAGTATACAAGTTTTCAGAGCTTCTTTCTGGGACAGGAAAGAGAGAATGTGGTGAAGTATAGTTATTGGCAGTTGGGATATTCTGTCGTCAATGGCTGTGGACAGAGTCTCCTCTGTTTCAGCCGCCTGCTTTTGCTTTTTCATAGGAGATGATCAGATGTGAGAACGACTTTGTGATATGCTGAATGAATCAAACCTAGTGCAGGTTATTGTTCAATAATAATTCTTTATAGTAATAATAATTAAATAAATAGACTCCATATATATGTGTGTTTACAGGATTTTATTATTTAAATCAAAAAAAAAAAATTAACCGGACAAAAAAAAAAAAAAAGCTGTCGACCAACATAAAACAGACGTATACTGAGAATACGTTTTCAATTGTAAAACGTATTCTCAGAATACGTTTCCAAAGGAAAACGTATTATCATGTCACGTTTTATAACGAAATAAATTTTTAAACATGATTAACTTAATTAAATCGCGATTAAGAAAATTAACGTAAAATAAAACGTACTTTCATAATACGTTTTATAAGAAACGTATTTTCAAAAAACGCTTTAAATTCAAAAACGTATTTTTAATATACGTTTTTTGTTTTTAAATAAATTTTATATACTATAAATTAAAAAAAAAACTTAGTAAAATTTATGAATTTTTTTTTTTAATTGAAAACGTACTTTCAGAATACGGTTTCCTCCCGAAAACCGTATTATGACAATACGTTTTCAGTTAAAAAAAATACTCCCAGACTCACACGACATAACCACACGGGTCGTGTAACGACACACGACCCGTGTCACATGACACACGACCCGTGTGAAAAAGTCGTAGCTAAAAAATCATTCTCTTGAAGCCGCACGACTCGTGTCACCTACTCACACGAGTCGTGTGACCCATCTGCAGCTCGATTTTGTCATTTTTCGGTCCTTTAACACTTTTCTATGCATATTCCAAACAACCAATAATTTTACTGTACAGAAACAGCAATTTTACAACAGAAATAAAATAGAACACCTGTTTGTCGAAATCAATTCCACAACCAAATATTCAACAACCAAATATTCAACCAAAATATATCAATTCCACAAATAAAATTGAAGCACAATAATTTATTCAAAATACCAATATGTTTTAATTAGTGTGGAATCAAATTCCATCCCACCGGCGGCCATGTATCCGGATTACCAATCGGAGTAAAACTCCAATTAGTAAATTGAGCTACCCAGGTCGACGTCCAGAAGTGATCATCGTACAACAGCTTTGGGTCACCCTCAATTCTACGACAGACGGCTATTGCATGAGAACACGGTTTTCTATGCGTCTGCCACTTCCGACAACTGCAACGTTGTCCGGGGTAATCAACTTTATACCTGTATTTCAACATTGATTTATATAATACAAAAAAAAAAATGAATGAACAAAAAAAAAACATATACTTACTTGTTTTGCCCTCTTCCACTAGCGCGTAGACCGGTTGTCACCGCGTACATCGATCTGGCGTAGTCCGTACATTCCACCTCGTGAGTTGCGGCAGTTTGCTCCAACTGCAAAAATGCGACATAGTGCAAATGAGCAATGGGACTCCTGCATCTACTGGCTTTGTTTTGTTCTTGTCGAAATAAATCCAGAGTTTTTTTAAATGTGGCCTCTACCAAAGCTCTGCACGGCAGGAACCTGACCCATTTCAGGACATTGTTGTAACTCTCCGACATATTCGTTGTCAAAGTGCCCCATCTACGTTTTTCATCTCGATACAGGGTCCACAGGTTCAAAGGAATGTTGAAAAGATAATTGTATGCGTCGGGATTAAGTTCTTGAAGTCGCTGTTTTGTCTGTCGAAACTTTTGCTTCGACAACTGCGAACCCAACTCCCAACACCAATCCCGAATTTTCTTACTCCTGAACCGAGTCACCACGTTGCTTCGAAGGTGTCGAAGGCAAATCCGGTGATACGCAGCGCGTTCTTGCCAATCCGGTAATGATTCAATCGCACTGAGTAGCCCCACATCCCTGTCAGAAAGAACGCATATCTGTCTGTCGAATACAACATATCGCCGCAGATTCCTAAGGAAAAATGACCAACTGCCCGTGCTTTCTTCGTCGACAAGCGCATACGCAATTGGCAATAGCCGCTTATTCGCAGTCTGTGCTACGGCCACGAGCAATTTTCCTTTGTAATGTCCACGTAAATGTGTGCCATCAACGCTAATAACCGGCGGGCACATTTCGAAGGTTCGAATCACAGGACCAAACGCCCAGAACACATATTTAAATTCTCTGTCTGGAACGTGCCGGGCCACATCACCACCCTGAAATTCCCAATCTACAGTTGTGTTGGGATTCGCTCTTTTAAGCGCGACAAAATATCTGTACAATACAAAACAATTTCATAAATAAATCAATATACTGACAGATAAAAAACACGTATATTTGTAATTAATTTTTGCTTACTGAGGGAGTTCTGCGAAGTTCGACTCCCAACTGCCGTACACACACTCGATTGCTTTTTTTATGCCGTGCCATGCCTTCTTGTAACTGACGTCGACTTTCCAACACTGCTTCACATC